TCCAACCAAATCCATCAGGGGATGCCACAGAGCAGAGTTGTTGGGAAGATTGCTTTCTTGAACACAGCTGCTATAATAGATCCCTGGGGCAGAAGGTTGCTTGGCAACCAGGAATTCTGATTTACCAATAAGTAATTCAGTCTAAGGTCTACATGTTGCAAACTGAACACCCCATTATGCCTTCAGCCCTGATTGGTTATGTCATTCTGAGGTCAGTGAGGGTAGATGGTTACTCTTGGCAGCAACAATGCAAGAGAGAAGAAAGGGCGAGTTTTACTCAAAATCCTGGCTGACCAGTAGTGAGCACTCCGACAGAGGACCAGATAGCTCAGTGGTGTGCAAAATACGACCCACGGGCCGGATCTGGATCTCCACAGCCCAGCGTGACCCTCAGGCAGGCTCCCTGGTGGCCGCAGCCACGCACACTGCTCAAAGTGGCCAGCTGCTGGGGCCAGCACATGCATGCCTGCACGGCGTGGCAGGGGGGCCCCTTGGGGGAGGGGACCAGGAAGGTTCCACGTGCTGTATGCCCCCGCAAGCACTTCCCTTGCCATGGCCACTGGGAGGCTGCAAGGACGATGCTGGGGGCAGCGACAGGGTGAGGAGACAACCCCTCCCCCCCAAAAGGCGTGTGCCATTCACACACACACATGCTTTGAGCAGAGTGTCTGGCTGCATCAGCCGGGGAGCCTGCCTGAGGGTCCCCCTGAGCCCCGGGCCAGGGGCTGCCTACATCTCCCAGCCAGAGCCTGCACTGGGCATGCACCCCCGCTCACGGCCCGTCCCCCTACCCCAGGTCTCACCCCCTTCCTGCACCCAAACTTGCTCCCTGGCCTCTCTCCTGCACCTCTGCCCCGGGTCAGAATTAGGGATGTATCGGTGCAGTCGATTAACTGATTAGCAAAAGCTGATAGATTAATGCTATGGCCGACATGCATTCTCCCCCCTACTTGCCAGTACATTTTTTAGCAGGCTGGCTCAGTCCTGGCGTGAAATGGGTCTGGGACCTACCCCTGCAGCAGCTCTGCATTTAGAATGTATTGGGAGCCAGGTGGGTAGACAGCCCAGTTCAGTTCTGGCTCACACTGGGTCCAGGAGCTCAGACCCACCCTAGACTAGAGTGACAGGCAGCTGGTCCGTGAGGGGAGCTGGTTTTTAAACTGGTTCCTCTCACAGACCAGCTCCCACCTGGCACCCCGCACTGTTGCCTCTGATACCGAGGCAGCAGCACGGAGTGGCAGGGGGTTCCTCAGGAATGAGGCCGGAGCACACTGGCTGCTGGCCCCACCCCGTGGGACTATAGAATAGTCCACTAACTGATAAGAAGGGCTCGACAATTAGGGCAATCTATTCGCCCGTGGCAAGCAGATTTTAGCCCGGCACGGCGCCACGGGGCTCACTGCCGCTTGTCAAGCCCTGCCGATAAGAGTTCTTGAGCTCACTCAACTATTCAATTAACTGATATTTAACATCCCTCGTCAGAACCCTCCTCTTGAATCCAAACTCCATCCCAGACCAAGCATCCCATCCTGCACCTGAATCCCCTACTCAGAGCTCCCGCCTGTACCCAAGGTCCACCTCAGACCCCGTGCCTCCATTAATTACACAGAAAAATACCGGCCCTGACCACTTACCAAATTCTTGGAGTGCCTCCCCCCCCCATCAAAAATTACAGCCCACCCCTGCAACAGCTTCTAGTCTAATAGTATGGACTGCAAAAATTACTCTACTATGCACTTTCAAATCTGGTCAGTCTTCTGGAACGAGCAACCATCCCAGTTATCAAGACAGTTCCTCAGAAGCTGCATGTTAACCAGGATTTGGGGTCTCTTGTAAAACACACACTCTTTGGATGTCAACCCCAATAAAGAGGGGCCAGATTATGTGCCGTAAGAGACATAATGAGCTGGTTTTATGCCATTACGCAACAAGTTTGAAACCATACCCTAAAAATTAACATCTGGTTTTTAGGGGTAAAATATATTTTTTTCAAGTGTATGTGACTGATTACAGATCACATTAATAGTCTGGATACTGTGGAGTAGGTGCACTAGAGAATCAATAATTGTAAGAGACTATCAGACATCTGCTCATTAATGCACTAGCATATGGACTGTTAGCAAGCGTGAGCAAGACTGTTTATTTAACCAGCCTCATTTCTTGCTCTTTTGTGACAGGCATTTGAATTTTATTTACTCTTTGTGGCTTCTGGCAGGTCTGTGGTCATCACTTCCAAGTAGAACCCGTGACAACTCAGCCACCATTTCAGAGTGCCCAGGTTAGATTTACAAACCTCCAGCTGGCAGAGGCTACCTGGATGAGGTAAAGAATGCAACTGACCTTTGAACAGCAGGATGCCAACTGGGATGACAGCAGCTTGTATTTGCTAGACCAGCTAGCTCTAGGGAAGAGCTGCTCAGAGAAACCAAAGGTGAAACAAGCAGCAGCAAGATACAAGATAGAAAGGAAGAGAAATGTGAAGTTACAGATGTTTAATATTAAACTGATACTTTCATTTCATAACCGAGAAAAGTTTCAGGGGGCATTAATGGGCCTATGAAAACTTTAATTCTTAAATGCTCCCCAGTTTCCAGAGGCACCATGCTTAACCTGAGAACTTCTTGCAGGGGGAGAGGGGTAGGTTCTGACGGTGGGAGGGGGGGAGGCAATGAACACTTTCAGGATTAGTGCACATTCTGATTAAAATTAAAACTCCGCTTACACATACAAGTCCTTAACTCCATCATGGACAGCACTTCTGTATCAATGCTTTTCACATTTCTGCTTTTCAGTGAGTTGCCAAGAATTACTAACCAGTCCAGGTCTGTTTTGAATACTATTTGGTATACACAATAAGAGTCAATGTCTGCCTATATGCACATCTTGGGCTGGATTTTCGGAAGTATGCTGAATACCAACAACCTCAAATGACTTAAGAGGAATTGTGCATACTTAGCATCTCTGAATTTTAAGCCAGTAGTTCCCAATGAGGAATCCACAGTAAGCGTCCAGGGTGGAACATGTCTCTAAGTACACAGAATATTTCAAAATAAAGGCGATTAACTAGAAAGGTGCATTGTCAGTTTAAAAGCGTGACCAACTGACCAAGACATCCATAAGTTTACTGTACATCTGATTAAAAAGCCCAATGTTGAATGCACTAGCTACATGAGTCAGCTTAGAGCATGGCACAGGAAGGCTGCCTGGGGGGTAAATTGAGTATCATTGCACATTTTAAAGGAGTTGCATGACATGGCAAAATTCCCAAAATGCACATTTACAACAGCTTAGACCAGGGCTACTCAACTCTGGAAGCCCCAGGGGCCACAATGATACTCACAGCACATGCTGAGGACTGCAACTTAAGTGAGGTTGCATATACATGCAAGTATATATGCAAATATATGCAAATAGATTTTCACACTGATGGGCATGAATGCAAAGATTAAGGCAGGACTACACAACAGGCTGGCCCTATTTAAGTCAGTTCTGCCGCTATTAATAAAATGCAATATTTACCCCATTTCCACCCATACGACAGCACTGTTAATGAGCAACGACAGTCCAGGAATTTAACTACTAAAACGCATATAAAGAGAAGAGCTTTATATTGACAACTTTTTTGTTTTGGCTCCCACCCACAAGCCATGTGTTGAGTCCCGCGTGAACCCAAACCGCACTGCGGGCTGCAAACAAACGGCCCACGTGTTGAGTAGCCCTGGCCTAGACAGTCAGCAAGGCTAGGCAGCCTTACTGTTCATGTTCTCTCAAGGTAGACTCAGAGTCACCGCTCTAAGATCAATGACCCAAAAGACTAACAGCCACCTGCTCAATCATGGAGATTTTGATTCCCAGGATTTCAGATTGACAATCAGCCATTACAAACTAAAACAGCTTTGTTGAGCATTTTACACCCCCACAATGCACCAGCAATGAAGGGCAGGTCCACTACCGGTACCAATAGTAACAAATTGCAATTCATGAACCCCTCAATTAATAAGACCATCAAATTAGTCCAGAATTAGTAACCGACACTGGCTGCTCCTAGGAGAGAAAAGGAAGTGAGATGAAGTGTTGTGGGATGAGGACAGAGTGGAAGTACTGCTGGTGGTGTCCCATGCCGCGCAGTCTACAAAACCTTCATTTGCCCTTAAGCAGTGTCTTTATGTCGTTTAAACCCACCTTTCAAAGAAGTGACCTGGGTAGCCCTTGGCTTTGACCTTGCCTAAAGTTTAAAGTGCAGCTGTAACAGTGAGCTCACGGCACCAGCATTGGGAAAGCGCTCTCCCAGCGCTGTAGGTAAGCCACCTCCACAAGGTGCTTTGCACACTGGTGCTATAGAGTGCTGTAATTTGCTGTGCTCAGGGAGGGAGAGGGTTTCGCATCCTTAAGTGAGAAAGTTACAGCACAGTAAGCGGCAGTGTAGACAAGCCTTTTAATAAAGCAGAATCAGATTAAAGCTTCGTTTCTCAAAGTGGCCTGTGAAACCACTTTGAGAAACATGCTATCTGGCCACCCCTATTTGTTTACTTACTGGTGTTGCGGCCACGGAGCCTCGTGGGTCCCATTGGCTCCAGCTTGCTATTTGCAGCCAAGGGAGCTGTGGGAAGCAGCGTAGGCCGGAACGCCACATCCCGAGGCTCCCCTTGGCTGCAAACAGTGAACCGGAGCCAATGGGAGCCATGAGGTTCTGTGGCCACGGCACCGGTAAGTAAACAAACCGGCGTGGCCAGTTAGCATGTTTCTCAGAGTAGTTTTGCGGACCACTTTGAGCAATGCTGGATTAAAAGGGATGTCTAGTTGAGGGAAGTTACCTGTGGACATCACCAGTGATGCCTGGACACACTCTTGTTACCTTGTAGAAAGGACAAATAAAGATGTAAACAGAGGAAAAAACAGTACTAAACTATTAACATTTAAAAACCAGACCGCTGCTATTGCCGTTCCCAAAACCCGATGAAATACCAGACATTAGAGATTACAGGAATAATGTCTCCTACCTTCATTGGCCTCCGGTCTGGAATTCTTGATAAACGCAGAAAATTTGGCAAAGATGTCCATTCCCGCAGTGTTTGATTCTGGGTGCCTTGGTGAAAGCTTTAAGTATCTAAGCAGAAAGATGCAGCCGTTTGTGAGCAAATATTCAATAGCAATTCTACTGCAATACTCAGCTAAAACAGTATGACCAATCATGTATTAATTAGAATTAAGCAGGCAAAGAAACGTGTACACTCTACTTTGGTTATTAACACAGCACATTAGTGGATTTGACCTGACCCGTGGAATAAAATATCTAGTTAATCTTTCCAAAGGAGTCAATCCCTCCATTCAAAAATGTATTGGGGTCTGCAAATGAAAAAAGGTTGAAAACAACTGCTCTATATTAGGTGCACCTTTTTTAAACCCCCAAAACATTTCCATTTGGATCTTAACCTAAATTTTGGTCCTGAAAATGATTACATTGTTTTTTTAAACATATCAATAAGCTGCGATGATTAGTCTCAGGGGGTAGCCGTCAGTCTGAATCTGCAAAAACATTAAGGAGTCCTGTGGCATCTTAAGGTATGTCTACACTGCAGTGCTATTTCGGGATACTTATAGTGCACCAAAATAGCTATGCCGCATCTTTGAAACAAGCCCATTATTTCGAAATATAGTCCGATGTCCCTGTAAACCTCGTTCCACTAGGATTAAGGGACGTTTCAGAATAGCGTTTTATTTCAAAATTTGGTGCTTTGTAGAAAGCACCAGATTACAAAATAAGATATTTCAAAATTAACTTGAAATAAGCTGCGCAATTTGCATGGCTCAAATTGCATAGCTTATTTTGAGCTAAGGGTGTAGTGTAGACGTATCCTTATAGACGGATTTATTTGCACATAAACTTTTGTGGGTAATAGGAAGACATGTATGCATCTGACAAAGTGGTTGTTACCCATGAAAGCGGATTCCCAAATAAGGTCTCTAAGGTGCCATAGGACAACTTGTTTTTATGTTGATTTAAACATTTGCAACATTTGCACTGAAACAGAGCAATCAAAATCAGAAAATGAAACTGACTACTAATTCTGAAACTGGCTGTTCTACTTCCATTGTAAAATTCAATTATCTGCAAATAATGAACAGCATAAACAGTGAAAGGTAAACTCAGTTTTATTAACTTAAATTGGTATCGAGATAACATGCAAAGAATTTTTAAAAAACAAATTATGCTTAACCCTAATGCCCCTTTAACATGTTCTTCCGACTTATCTTAATGTGACTAAACTATCTATAACATGAGTCAGGACCTGGAATTCTGAAACACTTCAGTGCTTATTTCTGAGTTAAGGATTACCAGAGGACCTGCCAAATTCCAATGGAGACTATAAAAAAGATTATACAGCATGTAAATTACATTTGGAGTCAAAGCTAAAATTTAGGTATTGTAAGGGCCTCCCCTTTTTCTCCACTCAAGCTCATCCAAGGAAGTGGGTTTTGCCCATAAAAGCTCATGTGTGTGTATATATAAGTCTCTAAGGTGCTACAGGACTTATACCAAAATTAGGGATTTTAAATAGCATTTTTAATTCCAAATCCCTCCCAGTCATGGACTATCCATTGAGATGCAGGGTATGTCTACACGGCACATGAAAGTTAGCTCAAACAATTCCTACATGTGCTGCAGTCACACCTCATTGCATGCAGACATGCCGTAAGGTGAGCTGAACCCACACGCATACAGGTCATTCCTCCAAGTGTAACGTGGACTTTGAACAGCCTCAGAGGTGAGAGTTCAGATCCAAGCTTTTGCACAGACCTACCTTTAAGTGGAGACCACTAACTATCCCTGGAGCAGGGATGTACACGATTAACCAGTTAATGGGTGAGGCTTGCTGGTTCCAGTTAAACCAATAGGAGCTGGAGTAGCTCCCTGCCTGCCTCAGGCAGGGGCCTGCCCCAGCCCCACGGGCCCTGTCAGAGTGGCCCCTCTCCGTGGCGGGCCTGGCCGCCTCCCCACTCGAGGTTACATTCTGGCACTACTCTTGGGGAGGGAGCTTCCCTGCTGCAGCAAAGCTTCCTCCTCCCTGAAACTGGGGAGGCTTTGCTGCGGGAGCTGCAATATAAAGCTTAGTTAAGCTTCATACTACATAGCCCGCGACACATCCAACTGCTATGAGTTTTAGTGGTTACATGGTTACATTTTTAACCACTTTTTTTACATCCCTACCCTAGACTTCCCTATAAAAAGTGCAATCCACTGCAGATTATACATTGGGTTCACACATTAGGTAAGGAGAGCATTTTCCGAATTATGCACAAAACAGTGGTCAAGATTCAAGTGGTTTACAATCAAATTCAACCAGAAAAAAATTAGATAAAAAAATAAACTCTTTCTGATCAACAAGACATTGCTTTATTAGAGTACACAGTAAAACAATTTCAGTGGTAACTGATCAGTCCTTTTGACTTTTTTTCAGATGGCTGAATAGACACAATGGCCCTTTTCTATTCCAAAAACAGCTTAAGGTAGACTGGGATGTTTGAGGGAATAGTTCTCATCTTAAAGAAACAGACATTTCGTAACCTTAACTTTCTGACCTATTCCTACACGGGATAAAAATACCTCAGTTCATTTATTCATACATCTACATAGTGCATGTCACCTCCAAAAATATTAAAATATTTGCAGATGGTAATTCAATTCAAAATATTCTTAAAAGCAAAGTTTATGTTCAGAAAACAGAGAAGACTTGTCTTATGGACAGTCAAGAACACATCTAACCCAATGAATCTTTCACTTGAAGAGAACTGGACAAGTCTTGCTCGGGGTTTTCTTAAACCACCATGAAGTAGAGGCTATAATTACATACTTCTGCTTTCTGCAACAAGCACAGAAATCTCCAGTGGAAAGCTGCTCCTCTTATCGCTACACACCAGGGCTCAGTGAATGGAAAACAGGGCTTTATACAAAGCAGAATAACTTTAGGCCACCATACACAGTCTGCTTTGCTCTGTTAGTCTTGCCAGTCCAAGGGACAGGAGAGTTTTTAAAAACATGTAACTTAAAACCAGCTGTCCCAGAAGATAAGTGGTCATTGACCCCAAGATTCCATAACAAGAGAAGAAAAAAATGTGATGGTGCAGAAATGCTTTCTCTTCCTGAAAGCTCAGAAGATATCTGATCACCACCAGAGTCTGCTTGTTGAAGGTGTAGAAAGCCAGGAGTTTAAAGGATACTTGACAGTTTCCTGCTCTTCCTCTATATACTCTAATGAATTAAGCATGTATTTCACATCTTTCCACCACAAGTGTAACCGGCTTAAGGCTCAGCCTTCACCTCACATGCACATTTAGTAGCAGGGTCATCTCAAGGTGTGTGTGGCAAGAAGGGCCTCCACCACAGAAAGTCTTCTGTCTTTGGCACAGAAAGCAAAAACCAGCTACTGACAACATGCACTCAGACAGGACTGATTCTGCAATGTATACATAGCTTTTTTCCTATTCAGTAAACTAGGAAGGAATGCAAAAAAGCCTTCCAACGGAAAACATGTGGGTCACTGGTATTTACCATCCTCATTTGAAACGAACTTTTCATTTCAACCAGAAGCTGAATAATGCCTTTTCACTGAGTTTTAGAAGAATTTCTGCAAATACAAATCTTGCAAAAAAAAGGTCACCAGAAAATGGGTTTTCCTAATGGTCTGAACTTAATGGATGATTCTAGCCCTGTGATGAAGTGGGACCCCATTTCAGTTACAAGTACACTCATACTAGCATGGCCTAAGTATCCTGCCTCCCTTCTCGCACACAACTTCACCCTTAAACAGCAAAAATAAAAAATATGCAGGCTCAAACATGCAGGTATAAAATTAGAAACATTGATTACAGATAATATCTCGTATTTCCATGTTGATTTCTTCCTAAACAAATGGGTATTTATGACAAATAGAGGGTTTGACTAAAGTACTTAAGGCCTCCATTCATATTATAAAAATTCAGATTTTAGTTTGACGACATGGAAAGCATTTTAAACTTGGTTAGCAAGCAAATATTTGCACTATTTATTGCCCGTAGCTTCTCCCTAAAAAGGAGTTTAAAACTGAGCAACACCCATAAACCTGAGACCAGACACCATGAAGACTACTGTTACCAAATAGCCAGTTCCAGAGACAATTTCCTCCACAACACTTACTTGGGTGGACACAAGACATCTTCAAGGAACTCTTCAATTTTGTTCACATCTGTTTTCACTTCACCATTGTAGGTAATAAAAGGGGGATGAGTCCCCGGAGCCAAGTTCTGAAGGTCTGCTGGTTTCCTATGGTGGGATACAAACATGATACAAAACCATTTTAAAAGGAACAAGTAAGCACAGTACAGCCATGATTCTAGCTATCAGCACTACCTCCAATCTCAGATGGTGGCCTCTGGCAGTATCTCTATGTGCCAACTCTGCCCAGTCAGTAGCGTTAACAAGACCCTCTGTGGTGCCGAGGTGCTTTAAGTAAGCAACAGCACATGAAGAGGAGCTCAATGCTTTGGGATTTTATGAGAACTACACTGCCAAAGTTGTCATTTTAATTTGTGGTATTTTGACATTTGCTTTTATTTTTAGTTTAGCTGCTTTCAGATCTACGTAGGAATAGTAGAATACAGCAGAACCTCAGAGCTATGAACACCTCAGAATGTGGAGATTGTTTGTAACTCTGAAATATTTGTAATGCTAAATACTTTATGTTGGTCTTTCAAAAGTTTATAATGGAACATTGACTTGATTCAGCGTTGAAACTTTACTATGCAGAAGAAACATGCTTTTAACCATTCTAATTTAAATGAAAAAAGTACAGAATCAATTTCCTTACCTGGCCAATTAAGCTTTTAAAATGTTTAGTAGTTTGGGCTTAATACCAAACTGTATTTGTGGTTTTGGTTTGGGGGGGGGGGCATTCGCATACGGGGCAGGGATTGTCTGCTACTGCTTGATTGCATACTGCCTGTTCCAAATGAAGTGTATGGTTGACTGGTTAGGTTGTAACTCCGGTGTTTGTAACTCTTAGGTTCTATTGTACATAGTTACTTTGAGATATTTACGGTTGCAATTTCCTTCCTCACCTCCAGGTCTGTTTTACCCTCAATGCATGTTTGCACATGTAGCAACCTGCACAGAACCTGTCTGCATCTCTCATACCTCTACCTCTCCACATCCACATTTTTCCTGATGGATATAAATTAAACCAGAAATAAAACAAAACCCCACACATGCCATCTTTGTCAACAACAAAGCATGAAGAGGAAAGTGTGCCCTAGCAACAATTCTAAGAATAGGAGGTGATTTATTTTTTGTATGTAAATATTGGGGAAACATTTTCCTGGCGAGAACTATGGACTTGGTGGAAACAGATGGGTCTCAGTGACATAGTCATAAGTACTTTGATTCTACAGAGGTGAGTACATCATCAAGTTAAACACATGCATGTGTCTAAAATTAAGTCTTTTTAGAAAGAAATTCAGTGACAACACTTGCTTTCTGGGGTATATACCCAGAATGCCTTTCCTGCTGTATTTCTTGTCGAGCCTAGCCAATTGATTTTATGGGCTCTTGGCTGCTCTCCTTTCCCCTTACTTGGTAGTGATGATAGGATGTGACACTGCAGGTGTGCAGCATCTAAAAGCTATGTGCCAGCTACACTCACATTCACTCCAGCTTGCATAATTTACTCCTTTAATGCAAGGTGTGTTTGCACATCTGCTTTTTCATTTGTAGCACAGACAAAGGAAGCACAGGGACATTCGAGGACTGAAGTTCGAACACTGAAGTTGAGGAATGCGGGGAATGGGAATAAAGGATGCAGGCTTTGAATCCACAGTATTGTCTGAAAAGAGTGCCCTTTAAATTTTCTCCCATCAGAAACCGCCATAGAATACTGTGACAGTCTTAACTCAAACAGGAATTGCAATACTATGTATCAACAATGCAAATTAAATCCTAGACTAAGCCAGTGATTCTTTATGACCCAGAATAATTCCTCTGACAAGTATAAATAGGAATTTGAGGTTATTTGCATGCTTTAGATGACGTTAGGGCCGTGGTCACCAACCGGTCGCTCGCGAGCTACTGGTCGATCTCAAGGCCTCGACCAGTCGCTCGCGAGGCGTCCTGTCAGCCCCGCCCCCATTTCCCTCCCACCCCCCAGAAGTCCCACTACTTACCTCGAGAGAAGACGGAGGTAGTGTCGGCTTCCAGTGCGCGGGGGTTTGGCCCCAGGGCTTCCCGGCGCGGGGAGGGGGTTGGCGCCGGGACAAGCGCCCACGGGGCTTCCCTGTGCGGGTGGGGGGGTCGGCCCCCTGGGCAGGCACGCGCGCAGGGCTTCCCTGGGGGTCGGCCCTGGGGGGGGGAAATG